CTCCCTAAAAAAATTGGCGCCAAGCGCCGGCAGCTTCTTGTCTGTACTTGGCACCGACTTTTTTAGGGAGAAGAGAAGAGAACCTCTGGGACCAGGGTAGTGCCCTTAAGGGCAATACAGTTAATTTAGTTTCCAGGTATAAAATTTTAAAAAATTTCTGCTCCCATGGAATGAGCCATCATATTTGGATAATCCTGAAATAATGAATAGACTTAGTTAAAAATGATTATCTTATTGCAAATATATCATTTTGCAAGATTGTTGTAATAGATGATATCAATTGTGATAGTTTATGAAATAAATTTTAATAGATTCTTGAGACATGCCTGAAAATATTTTTTTTAATTACTGCAGTTACATTTTACGAAGTTATACACACAGAGTTCGTACGCGTCTTGAAAACCCATGGGAGGACATCCATCACACAGTAATCTTGTGCGTGGGAAATTAACATCTCCTACCCCTAACCCTGCAGGAGACGGGACCTCCATTTATTCATCCCTATCCGAGAAGACTAGAATATCTAACCATTTCTTGATGTTATAGGAAGGTAGCATATTCTTCTCAATTATTTTAAGACCCTGAGTGTTGGTCTGGCTGGGGCTTGAACCCTCGACCTCCCGCACAACAGTCCAGCCCTCTATCCATTGAGCTAACCGGGAGGCGGTTGAGAACAATATGGAGGAATATGTATACCTTAGAGTGTACAGGTTAGTAACAACAGGCACATAGAAGATAACTTTGCAAGGAAGACAAAACCAACAGTATTTTATTAACAGCCTTTGTCAAATTAAGGTCAACAATTATACTAAATGCCTCATATAATTACAACATTTTGTATCAAAGTGATGCAGTTTAATATTTCAAGTATTAAATATCATTTGTTTTTCATCCTGTTTCTATCTATCATAAATTTCAGTTTAATAACCTCAACTGGCTGTGGACTTCACCTATTCTTGATAGACCAGGTAGAATGTGTTTGATGATAAATGTAATCATTTCAAAATAAAACAGTTGCCTTGAGAAAATTACAGCTCATGTTTTGTTAATTATAATTCATGTCCTATGTACTACAGCAAAATTACATGCACAAAAAAATGTGTTTGTGTTGACCTGTACAAGCCAGCTAATTATAAGAAGCATCTGCTTAAATTTACAGCATTGACTTCAAATGTAATGGATCAGTACTAAACAAAATAGTCTCTTATACATTAAGTTTTGGAGCTTCTAGACACAATTAATTCCACTATATTTTAAAGGATAGTGTGTCAACATTTTTCCAGTCTGGGTGATGTAACCCAGACTGGCTTAGAGAGTGGTAGCATTTGAGAAGTCTCTCACTGGTGCACAATGTTCTTTTCCAACCACTTAGCAAATCAATTTTTTCCATTTAAACTCAGTCTGATATACAAAACGTCTCAAACATTCCTTATCACATTGATATGGTCAGAAAACCATTGTTTAGTACCTCTGTCAGTAACTGAATTGATGGGAAAGGAAAGAAATTGGCCAATTTAACAAAGACTTACTGCATTAGAGGCTGACATTTATCATTAATGTTTTCCTATAATATGTTAAACCATGCAACTAAATTTAAACATAATAACTAAGTTATAACTAAGTTTAAACAGAAACTCTCAACTAAACCATAATTATGTCTACACTTTTGCAAAGTGCATAAGACAAAATTCAGATTACAGTGGATGAAATCAGCCACTGTTGTCCTCAATTGTTAAATGAGGCAACACAACATACATACAATTTTACCAGGTGACCAAACCCCAGATAGGTACTATCTTTTATAGGTATAAAATGTTAGCATTTTATCACAAATACCACCATCTTATTGGCTACACTACTAGCTATCTAATTTGTACTAGAGAGTGAGTACAGTAGCTAGGTAGCCTGACACAGTACATTAAAAGGTAAAAACGTGAGTTTATCATGTTTCTTAGCTTTGAAAATCTAGTAGATTTATACTAAAACAAGGAGACTTATGTGCTTTTGATTTCTATGCATGACAGCTCATTTGGATTTCACCTTAGTCAACTATGATGAAATACTGAATTTTCATGCTCATAATCTAATGAATGAATGGTCTGGTAGAATCTGTGAGAAAACATAAATCCCAAGTAAGGATCACCCTCCCTCCCTAGCTCACCCACTTTACAGTTAGAAGAGATGACTAGCTGAGAAAACAACAGTGCTCCAGTTGGTAGCTGCCTGATGATAGCAGTCTGTTCTTTCCATATAGTTACACATTAATTGGTCAGTCAGTCATAAAATTAATTATTATTGCAATTCTATTAAATGTTGGCACAATCAGGTCTCAAAAACCCACGTACAACATCCAGAAAAGACATCTGTTGTGTTTCCTGACCAGTCACATTCTCTTAACTACACTGACCCTGGAAGGGTTTTTTGGCACATCACTTCACATTTACAATCTGCAATAGATTTTGTTTTCCAATCTTGTGAGGGTATGAGAGAAAGAATGGTTAGTCTTCAACACAACACTTCTTATCTTGTTTCATTAACCCTTAAACTCCCGTTAGTGACCAACACAGAATTTCTCCTTACATCATCCATACAATATCAAGTAGCCAAGTGATAAGAATAAAGAAAAATATCAATTAGGGGATGATTAGTCAATCAAATGCCAAATTCTCCAAACTTACATGATAAGAACCGTATGACATACAGTAAGGAGAACTAACCACTGAGATCTTGGGAGAGGAAGTGTTAAATATTGATTCAAAAATGAACAGTACATGACTGCCAATAAATACAGATATTTGAAAGGTACAATAATATTATTTTACCTCTTCTTTTAAAATAATATTAATTATTGTTATAATAGTGTTAATTTAACAGTTTGCTTGCAAATACAGCCTGCTGTTAGAGGGCACAGCCCTTAAAGCTCAATTCATTTTAAATTATTGTTCTATGTACAATTTCATAATAATTTTTTATACGCTAATTGACTAAGAGGGATATACAGCAGTGAAAAATATTCAGCACACAGATAAATTAAAATTTAATGCAAGGGAAAAAAAATTGAGCAGATTTATGAAAGCCAAATAGTTACATCTGACCCAACTAAATTAGTCAATAAGCATGAAAATCCCTTTTTTAAATTTTTAGACAAAGGTATTACCATATTATTTTGTGAATGTTGTAACTATGTGCACGAAGAGGAATTAATTACAATATTTTTGTGCCATGCATGACTTTGGAATTACTCTCAGACTAATTAATGTGAATTAAGCTGCCACAACTGTCCTCCAGGAAGAGCCTTTAATTCATTAGTAAGTCCTTGAGGTGAAAAAATTATTCTTTTTGTTCTCATTCACTTGCAATTTTTATCTTAGCAAGGCTGAAAAGGCCACAACACTAACTTTTCAACTTACTAACCAAGTGACTAGCTATATAGTGACATCTCAGAAATAATGACAACTTCAGTTTGTTTACTAGCCAAACCGGCTTGTGGAAATTGAAAACCACCAGCCAAAACCAAACTTCTACTAGTTTGTGGCTTGTGGGCTACTGTTAGTGTCAAGGCCTGCTGAAGAATTCTGATGGTAGAATGGAAAAGTCTACCTAAAAATTCCAATTCCAATTCCAATTATTGTTCCTCCTTTTCACAACCTATTTAACGTCAAAGGTTGATTGGCTCACCTCTTTGCTCAATTTACCTCTAGCTATAGATGATATCTGTATGCAGTGGTTTAAAAATGTGTTTTAAAATTGAATTTGATTTAAATATGTCAATAATATCTACATAACAAACATTTATTACACGACTCGGGCAGTCAGAGGGCCAATAACTAAAATCAGCCAATCAAAATGCTCTATTGCCGGTCAATATTCTCTCAGTATTGGACCGGGCACTGTCCTGAATGGTCCTGAATGGTCCCAAATGGTCCCAAATGATACCGCACTTGTGTCCCTTTGAACTTCAGTCGTATAATAAATCTCTTATTAACCAAGCTTGCTCGGGACCGTACTGGAAGAATATCGGCCCTCTGTCTTTTTTGTAC